GCCGATCCAACCTCTTTTCGCCATGGGCTTGGAAAACAGCAGCCTCGGGGCGCGGACGCCTGCTGGACGAGATCATACGCTTCTGTTCATCATGGGCAACGAGCTGATATGCCTCAGCTAACGTTGGAGTCGGCCGCATGGCTAATATTTGGGATTTGACGGTAGAGAACACGTCATCTAAGCCCATCAAGAAATCAAACAATTGCTCACCTTCACGGACGTCTCTTTGTCGCCGCTGGGCATCACAGGTACAACCTGAGCAGGTGCAAGACAACGAGGGAGTGAGGGATTGTATCTCATCCCACAAACCCCTCAACTTGGTGTAAAACGAAGAGACCGAGGCCTTCTCTTGTTGCAGACGGACGATCGTGCTCTTGAGCTCATAGATCCTGGCGGCGCTGCCTTGGCCAAATCGGGATTGGAGATCAATCCAAATTTCACGTGCAGCCGACGCAAAACGGACGCTACTACGAACTTCTTTGGTCATCGACGTCTTCAGCCATCCCTTTACCATGGCGTTGCAACGGAGAAGAGCCTCCTTTTCGGCCGGAGAATTGGCAGGAGGTAACGTCCCATCCACAAAGCACATCTTGTTCTTAGCGATAAGCGAGTCGGTAATATCCACGACCCATTCTCCATAATTAGCATCGGAAAGCAGCTCACCGACAAAAAGATTACTCGGGTTGTCCGATGGGTGAAGAAGAAGGTGCGACGGCAGCATAACTTGGGAATTGAGTCCCGCAGCCATCGACGATTGAGGACTCTTACCGGTCTGAGTAGACTTGCTGGCTTCATCGTCTGAGCTCATGATTAAACCGCTGTGGATCTACTCACAGCTCTGATACCATGTAAAATACGACGAATGCGGAAAAGAAAAGGAACACGAGACCGAGATTTACCTGGTTTCCCCGCTCGGCATGAACGGGACTAGTCCACGGAGAGCTTCACGCTCTCAGAGATATCTTATTATTTGTTTTCTGGTTCTTAGGTTTAGCCGCAGCAGCTAGAACCCTATTTGTACACAAAGGTAGCAAAAAACCCTACTCCTCTACACACGTTCAGCTGGAGTTGGGAGAAAATAAAATAACAAATTACAAAGTGATCCCTATAATAATAAGTCATTTCTCTAGGGATCACAACACGTTGCACCGACGATAGATCCTCACCGCGATAGAGTGAGAGAGAGAGAGATGGAACAGAGGGAGGGTAGTGATGGGTAGACAAGGAGATAGAGAGATGGAGAGGGTGGACTCCGCCGGCGAGTGAAGTACGAAACGCGGCTAGAGAAGACGTTGTGGGTTCGCCGGCTGAAGCGATCGTCGGTGCGAATGGTGCTACGCCAGTTTCCCTTCTGATGTTGGGGGCAATTGGATTAATATTCCCTAAAATTATGGTCCTTCCACCCGCACCAAGAGGCTGCAAACCGTGGGTGCTTCGGCAACAGGGAGTTTCTGACGATTTCTCGGACGGCATCGACGTCGAGGCGGTTGTGTACTCCGATGGCGCAGTGGATGACGGTGTCCAGCTCCAGCTGCAGGAACATCCGGCCGGCGGGGCTCAGGGGCTCGTCGGAATCGTTGGCCGGTGGCAGAGGCACTCTGGCGGTTTTGCAATTCTTTTTTTTTTGTTTCGCAATGTGACGAACTCTCGAACTTCAAACAAACAATTACTTTTCGGGTTAGATTTATTCCCCCCGCTAATTTCCTTCACTGTAAACCCCTACAATTAAAAGACACAAAGTAGCATCGATTTTGTGATTGGAATACTGAAATTATATATCTATCGTGCACAATCTCTACATATAAACATCCAGAGCAGAGGAGATAAAGACTGAAGGGAGCAAGGAGTTAATGAGGTAGTAAATAATTATAGGTTTGATGGAGACTAAGTGGTTGCTTTGTTAGCCATAAGGTTATGATGTTGGGACATAGTTGATGAGTGCACGAGAGAGCAAGGAGTTGATGTTACTTGACGATCCAAATCAATTAACATGAAGGAGGGCTGATGGAGGACTTTTGTCCTCCCTCTTTTTGTTAAGGGACAGTTTCGAATATACGAAATGAGAATTAGGTTTCTTCCGAGTGTTTAGATTGATAAGTCGAGTCTCATCATTATGACTGAGTTATTCATTGTATCGAGGGAGAGAGAGTTTACTGGGCGTGGCCTACTCAATACTTGGTCTCACGTTGTTGGAGTTTTCTTATATGCCTTATTTGTTTGGAGCGAGGAAGGGATCTCCATTTCACATCAATGACTATTTTCGAATACATTTATACGATCACGTTTTCTTTTATTTTATATAAATAAGCTTGTCACAGGGCACTGAGGGCAGATTAGGAGAACACTTCCGATGGAGTAAGCAACATTTCTTGCTCCTTATATGCAAGTCACTTGATTTTATATACGTTTTTTAGTTTATTCATATAATCTCAAATCAATTATACGTAATAATTTCCAAAATTCTGGATTTTTGACATTTTGATTTGGAACTTTGGATCCACGGTTTGGCCTCGGCATAAGAAACTCAAGATTTGGACAATGATACAATCGCAGCCCAAATCGTCACCGGGACCATCATATCCCTTACCCGAGATCTGCGCTAGATTGGGCTTTTCCTTCGGTCCTGTCATAATGGGCCTTTGGCCTGCTTGAAGAATCTTTTGTACCAATGGTTCTCTCAGTAGTAACTCGCCAACTAAAATTTAATAACAACGATTGGGTGTCAATTAGGGTGTGTAATTGACAGGTAGGGTGAGTTTTTTACTAAACTGATTTATGTATTTACTAATGAGTTGGTACATTTGCGACATGTATATCATTCACACTCTTTTCTGGGTTGAGTTGGGTTGGGTGGGCAGTGAATTGGCATTGTTGAGTTGTGGAACGCAGTTCTCCAACAAATTATTAGGCATGTTTACTAACATTTATAATCAATTCCTAGCAAAATTAGTAAGATTCTACAAATTTACACACCTCTCACTTCCTCTTCATCGAATCCATCTGGTACTTACATAAAAATCTTTCAATACTCCACCAACCGATTGTGTAGAGAAAGTTCACATTCTTTTTTCAGAATTTGAACAACTAGTAGCTTATAATTCTCATTTTAATATACAACAAACAGATTACATAACATAGTAACCAATCATAGCAATTCAAAACATATTCTTTCTTTTTTTTGCTTTTTAGAAGTCAATGCTCACTACGGACTTTACGGAGTCTGGATCATTCCGATGACTCGCAACTTGGCAACCCACCCACCAACCATGTGTTATGGTGGACATGATCTGAGCTTCTCAGGCACATCATGAGAATATGACACCACATTACACAAGGAAGAGGACACAAAAGAGAACCCACATTTTTGTTTGGATATATGAATGTGTAGTATAATGGTAAGGAGCCCAGAGAAAGGGTTGGTGGAAGAGGGTAGTGGGGGAGTGGTAGGTGAAGGAAGCCCACCAAACATGACAAATTGTCTTTAACCACTAATCCAACTAATTAATATTTTCCAATGGACATTGGACAGCCTTATTACTCCCATTCCTCATTCTATCATTTATTTTGTCTTTTAATAGTATAATAAAATTATAATAATGAAGCCAAGCAAAAAATAACGGGTTGTATTATATGATGAATGAATTGGTAGTTTACAACGTAGTTTAGTTCAAATGATTATTAATTAATTAAATACTTAACAATAATAAAATAAATAGCTCATAAGATTAGAGAATCATTGCTTCAATAGCTCACAAATTTCTCGAGTTATTAAAAATATTGAGTTTCCGGATACGATTTGATTTTTTCCTTCTGAATTTGATCATCTAGCGCCTCCTAGTTACATCTAGATCACACCCGCATTCTCGATACCAAACTTATCGTGAACAATGTAGTAAAAAATTGCGCTTTAAAACTTAAAACGCCAAGTTTTTACGATTCTATGTAGAATCACGTTGTTCCTTTACTATCATAATCAAAATCTGCACTGTAAAATTTAAAAGCTTGCGCTTTTAGCCTTTTACGCTTCTAAATCACCAAAACACTCCTTAGTAGAATCGTGTTTTTTACTACATCAATCGTGAGATCTCTAAACAAGACTCTTTGTCATTTCCCAACACCCAGACGAGCCTAAACACAAAATTAAGCCCCCCTTCTTAAACCATAATTATAATACACATGATGATGGTTCCTCACAATCTCTCTCGATATCTTTTTGTTATTTTTTTTTTTTTGGTGCGAGATATCTTTTTGTTATTAGCAAGGCGATATCTTTTTTGAAAGATAATTAATTATAATAATAAATTAACAATAGCCACCGGTTGTGACCGATTTTTAGATAATGACCGAATTGATGTCATTATTATGAATTTTGTCTTTTTATGGAGGATCCACCTCTCCACCTACTAATATGCCTAGGGACAATCTTTTGCAATCTTCTCCACCGCCGAGTATTCCCATCAAGAGGATTCACTGTGATGGATCATTTGATAATGATTCACATGAGGCGGCTATTGGGATAGTTATTACTAATGCTCATGGACAGATTTGCGATGGACGGGCAGGTAGGGTCATTTGTTCATCCCCGATTGAGGCTGAGGCTCATGCTCTCTTGGAAGCATGCTCTTTGGCAAAACTTGACAGCTCCTCGACGATTATCTTTTCGGACTGTAAATCTCTTGTCGATGCCCTGAGTGGTGAGCCTTCATCGTGGCCATGGCGATGTTTTGCTCATCTTTCATCCATCGTTCATATCCTTAGAGAGGCTAATTGGATCAGCATCAAGTTTGTCAATCGCCAACACAACAAGAACGCGGATTGGGTTGCCCGTAATGCTCGTCTTAATACTCTCCCACCCAATTGGACCACGGTCCTTAGCATTGTATCTCCCTTGTTGTAACCTCTCACGGGCTTGAATCAATGAAATTGCTATTAAAAAAAAAAGACCGAATTGATGTCGACACCGCAATAATATGCGTGTGTGTGATGATCTTCTCCCCAAGTTTTCAACGCCCACTTTCTTTAAATACAGGTTGGACAAATGCGGTGTCGTACGCGTCCCTGATTCGCGCATTTAGTTATTCACTAATCACTACTTCCATGATTAAGGCATATAATTTTCAATTAATTCATAGATAGTCAAGAATAACATATAATATATTTCCGAGTTATTCGAATAATACAGAGCAGAGCAGGCAGGAAACATGAAAAGCGAAAGGAAAAAAAAAAAAAAAAAGGAAACGCAAAAGGGCGAAATGAAGCAATAATTCCACGGCCACTCGTTGGACTAATGGAATGGGGGAAATTACAGGAGACCGATCGAAACGCCGGCGGAGATGCATGTTTAGCTGATCCGGCGGCAGAGAGTGATTCCGTCGCCGACGGGGAGCATGCAGATCTCGATCCTCGGGTCGGCGGCGAGTGCCTTGTTCAGCTCCATCACGAAGTCCCTGTAGTACCTGACGTACTTCCTCATCGGCGCGTCCGCCGGCTCCGCCACCGATCCGTTCCACAGCGTGTTGTCGTATCCGATCACCCCGCCGACCTTCACCAGGTCGATCAGCCTCTTGTGGTAGTTGATGTAGTTGTCCTTGTCCGCGTCCACGAAGATGAAGTCGTAGCTCCCATGGCAGGCTTTCTGCAAGGTCGGCGGCCACACAAGAAAATCACCGATCAGTATCTTTCAGTTTTGAATCTAGAGATTTTTGACAGAGTTGGAAAACAGAGTCGCTAAACAATGATTAAGAAAGAATCAATCGGTCTCAATAATTTGAGTTATTCGAAAAAGATTTTAATTTAGAGATTTCGACCGATTTGTAAACAGAGTCGTCCTCGAAGTTATCGCCAGAAGCCGGCGATGGTTAACAAGAACTAATCGGTCTCAATAAGTCGAGTTATTTTGAAAAGATTATAATCTAGAGATTTCGACAGAGATGAAAGTAGAGTCGCCCTCGTTCTTAGAAGTTATCGCCGAAAAGATTCAATTATAGATCGTATACCACGTATTCTGATACGATTTCCGTGTTGGAAGAGAAGTTTCTAATTAGGGGGGAAAAAGGGACGGAATGGATAACTTACGTCTTCAAGCATCTGGTCAAGAACAGGGAGGGCAGGGCCTTCTCTGAACTCGATCTTGTGAGCAACGCCGGCTTTCTCGATCACCGGCAGCCCGAGCTCGTAGTTCTCCCTGTTGATGTCCATCGCCAAGATCTGTAATAGCAGCAATCAATTTGTCAAACACACCGCTACAATTTCAATTCGATTCACTGAAAAAACGAAACTACAGCTAGGGATCGGGAAAGATCGAGCGACCTTGCCGTCTTCCGGAAGAGCGAGGGCGGTGGCGAGGAGGGAGTATCCGGTGTAGACGCCGATCTCCATGGTGTTCTTGGCGTTGATCAGCTTCAGCAGCATGGCGAGGAACTGGCCCTCGTCGGCGGAGGTCGTCATCAGATTCCACGGATGCTTGGCGGTGATGTCCCTCAGCTCCTTCATGGCTTCCGGCTCCCTAGGGTAAACGCTCGTCTCCAGAATGTACTGCAATGACAGGCGGAAACACAGGGAGGAGAAATCAGTGGATTGTTTGAATTTTGAACTCGGGAGAAAAGAAATTAATTCGAACCTGGTAGAGGGCGTCGCTCTGGAGGAGACTCTTGTGGCCGACTTCGGAGTGGCGGCTGACGGTGGTGGTGGTGGTGGTCTGCTTCTCTTCCGCCATTGATTCGAGCTTTTTGCTTTGGATGGAGGTTTTTGGAGTTGAATTGGAAATTTGGGATTGCGGAAATGAGATGAGAAGCTGTTTGGGAAATGTTGGGAAAGTGAGGTGCTTATATAGTGGGGAGGGGGACTTTTTTTTGAATCGGTATGCGGTTAGGTTAGGTTAGGTCGGTGGGTTGGACCGGGGGTGAAACCCGGTCGGGAGTTGGTGAGGTCTTTTCGGGGGCCGTGCTGGGTGGGAGGCGGGGCCCACGGGGTTAGGAATCTTTGGTAAATGGTTGGTGGAATTGGCTTTCCGTGTTATTTCGTAGCAGGCAGACCAGACTTGGTTCCTAAGCTCGTTCTTCTCCATTTTTTTTTAGAACCACTACTTTGACCTCAACTACTATAAGCCATGTGGAGTGTCAAGTGTGGAGTCCAAAAGAAAAGAAAAAATGATGGTTGACCATTGATCCAAAACGCACAAAGGAGTTGTTGGGTCACAATTATGATTGTAATCAAACCCGCATCTTTGGCTACTCAATGGTTTATTAATCTAGTAAATTTTTGATTGAAAGCTGGTGGACAATTGTTGGACTCGTAAACATGGGGGAATGGCCCCTGATGAAGCTTGGAATCATCTATTTTTCTCCTTGAACCTGTCTAAAACTGAAATTGCAGATGTGATTTTCATTTTATGGAGGATTTGGAAAGCTAGGTGTTGGTCTGTACATGCCCATATTCAATATTTGCCACTGCCCTTGTTTCGTCAGTTTCAGCGGCAGCTAGAAGAATGGAGGGGAGCTGAACAGGTGGCTCCAACCATCCCCAGGCAAGGTCCTAGAACAGGTTGTAGACCGGGCAACGGCGACCGGACAGCGGCGGGACTGCCCTCCACTGCAATCACCGTTTGGTATGACGGGGCAGCTAAGCGGGGACGAGGTGGTAGCATTGGCTTTGTTAGTTTTCAACATACAGGTAATGTCATATTTGCTTTTGGGAAATACTACGAGGGGCTACATGATCCTTTTGTTATGGGATGTCTGGCTTTACGGGATGCTTTGCAATGATGTTTGACTCATGGTTTTGTGTGTGTCCAATTTCATGGGGATTCGCAACAACTGACACGGCGGATGGTGGGGGAGGATTTTGCTCATGATCGAAGTGGTGCGGTGCTTGAAGATGCTCGAGTTCTAGCTGCCCAATTCAGTTGGATTTCGTTCTGTTATGTTTCTCGTCGACTTAATAGGGCCGCCCATCTTGTGGCACATAAAGCCCTCTCATCGGGAGTTCGACTATTGGTCGACTCCCGCGCTTTACTTGACTCTTCTATTTGACTCTCTTGTTACCTCTAATTTTGGAAGAAGAAAAAAAAGCATGGAATAACTCAACCCAAACAATGATTATAAATCACCAGGGCATATGGGATCAAGCCAACTAAAACACCATTAAGGTCCCAAATCCCACTGAAGCCCAAGAGTAAGAGTGTGCAGCGGTTCGGATCGGACCAAACTTAGGAGAACTGGTGTCCAAAAGTGGAAGACATTTTAAGGATCAAGGAATCCGTTTTGGTCATATCCAAATGTAAATATCGAACGAATTTTCTTCTGCGTTTTTTAAAATTCATAAGACCAAGGGTCGGACCATATTATATTCAGTTCGATGTGATCTGGTCCAAACGTTAATTTGATTCGATTTCGTTCGTTATAGATCAATCCGTTGCACACCCTTACTCAAAAGGATAAGACAACCATTTGCCTAGAAATAAGCCACTAGGCATTTCGAATACAAAATCTCTCCTCCTTTCGCTTCCTCTTGGAGATATCATTTTCTCTTTACTGATTTTACGTTATGTGCTTTCCATACCACATTACTAATGTTGATCGTCGGGACGTAAACGACGAGAAACCGCCGGCCATCCCTTCACAAAAATGTTGTTCTCGATTCTACCAAGATATATCGGTGGTTACGGCATTGTGTGCTAATATACGTTATTGGGATCACATTTTTTGGTAGTAACGTTTGGTGGGAGTGGGGGCTGTTGGCCAACAGTACTCTGTTTTCGCCTGAGTGCTGGTTGGGCGGTGGTGAGGTTGAATGGCCAATTGGAATTGGGTTAGGTCAAACCGAGCTAGCAAATTCTGCAACATGGGACCGGAGAGTTGGTGGCCGTCACTACCGATGAAACCGGTATCTGTGTCGATTCATCATCTCTGGTTTGGAAGGGCTTCTTGCAGAGAGGGGAGGAGGATCCGGTGATTAGGTAAGGCTACTGTTTTAGGCTGTGATAGTGATGGTACGGTGAGAGTCCGAAACTCCACGCGCCGCTATGTGTCATAAACCAACCGATGCGTGGAGATTCGGATTAGATAATATGCTTCATCAGCTATCTGAATCCGAACAACTATAGAAAGATACACAATATTTTCACAACCCTGCCAACGGGGATCGGGTACAAGCATAGTTAGTTGGCATGTCAGCTGGTACAGCCAGATTTTGATCGGTATCGGTTACGTACTGGCTGGAGTGTGTCCTCGGTATGACCGGAATGATCCATTTCTGGGATTTAAACAAATTGACGTCGTTTTGGTGAATGTGTAACTAACCAAAAAAAAAGGGCAATGTCTATTTTTTACCCAAATCTTTTTCAGATTCTTTTATTTTAACCAAATCTATTGAATTCCTAAAAATTATCCAAACGTTAACTCTCCGTCAACTTTTTTGTTAGTAATGCTGACTAAGTATGACCATAATGAGTTGACTTCCTACGTGGCGGTCAGAATACCATCATTTACTATTTTTAATAAAAAGATTATCAAAAAACAAAACAAAATCCCACCTCTCACGTGGACGAAATAAGTAACGGTAACAGAATGAATGCCCAGACTTTGATAAATTATAATACGTTTGGATAATAAATAGAATTTCTATAGGTTTGGTTAAAATAAAAGAATCTGAAAAAGGTTTGGGTAAAAAATAGACATTGCCCAAAAAAAAACTATTTGTTTATAAAATTTGAAAGTTGAATGTGGGTGTTATTTGTTGGATTCAAGTATGAATGTTTTGATGTTTATGTCATTTGTTGGGTTCAATTATAAACTTTTGAATGTTGGAGTTAAATATTACATTTAAATATGAGTATTTTTCATATTGTTTGGAATATTATATTTTTTATTTAAATATTGATATAGATTTTAGAGAGATTGTATTCAAATATGTTATATATAATATCTAAATTCATTTAGTGCTTTACTACATGTTTTGCGAGAAACCAATATAAACGGCATAAATCGATTATATCACCCGTCATTATCATAACACTTACCAAACCGACAATTAATCTCCTATGCACGTTACCACTTTTCCATTCTATTTTTTTGGAGTCACTAGCCAAACTCTATCAATGACTAACTTGTGACTCAAGGCCAAACACAAATATTCAGCAACAAGTTGGTCCAACAAATGAAGAGGGTAGGGGTGGGCATCCGGTTCGGTAAACCCGAACCGGACCGAATCGAAATCTAACTTGACCGAACCGAAACTGAATTAATGTTGTTCAGTTCGAAATTCGGAAGGCAAAACCCTATATTTCGGAAACCAGGGTATGCTCAACCGAACCCGATATTCCGAATTCCGACCGAACAAACCGAAAATTTTCACCTCACACATACAACCCACAATTACAAGCCCACAGCCGCCCCCAACCCAAGCCCACTAACTCTAACATTAACCCTAGCGAAGTCCAAAAGCCTCTTCTTCTTCATCGTGCTGCCTTGTTGCCGTCGCCATCCCCTGTTGTTGATATCAGACTATCAGTACCACCGCAGACGGCTGCCTCTCTCCATTCTCTTCTCATCGCCGGCCATTGAAACTCAGAAAACCAACCAAAAACAAAACCATAGATTAGCAAAAGCGCACAAAAAATCTGAATTAAACAAAAACAGAATCGTTTTACTTTTACCCAAGAGGGATCCAAATCCCAGATCTACAGAGGCATGCGACGGCACCCTATCCCAGATCTGCGACGGCGGCGACATCCTATCTTAGATCGGCGGCGGCATACGACGGCTGCGGCATACGACGGCTGCGGCACCCTATCTCAGATCTTCGGGGGCGCACCTCGTCTCTCTTCACGGCCCTGGGAGGGATCCTCGGCGGCGGGGGAGCTTTCCTCCTCTTCAATCGGGCCGCCGCCGACCACATGCAGGCGATGAAATCGCCGTTGTTGCCTGCCGCTACCCCCTTCAATTGCTGTTGCTAGTTGTCGTTACCAGTTTGGAGACGGAGGAGAGACTAGAGAAAGAGAAGGGGGTGAGGAGTCTGGAGACGGAGGAGAGGTTAGAGAGAAGAGGGATTAATCTGGGGTGGAAAATAGGAGAGGGTGCTGCATTTTTATTATTTCGGGGTTGAGCCTTAAAACCGGTGGGCAGCAGGCAAAAACGGTGGGTAACATTATTTTCGGTTATGACCATTCGAACCGAACCGAGTTGTAATTCGGTTCGGTCGAACCGAACCAAATTACAACTCGGTTCGAATTCGGTCGGGGTCTTGGGAAGCTCGGAAATTCGGGATGTTCTGGTTCGGTTCGGTTTGACCGAACGCCCACCCCTAGAAGAGGGGCATATCTAACTCAAATAATGGACTCATTCCAGATTATGGGCTTGGTGGGCAACATATATTATCTTTTATTCATTCGCAAATATTGGGCTCAAAGCCCATTCGTTCGCTCTTGCCCAACGCTCAAGGCAAATACGATGTCGTATTTTCAGCTGTTTGATCAACCTTGCTAAGTTCGTCATTAGGGATGGCAATTTCGACCTGACCCGTTTTATCCGACCTGTTTCGCCTGTTTTGGAAGGGTTTGACCTGCCCCGTAGGCGGGGCGGGGCGGGCATGGGTACTTTCATCGACCCGACCTGTCCTGACCCGCCCCATTCTCGACCCGTTTATGCCTAAATTACATGTAATCTTAATCAAATTACTTAGAAATTTTCTTTTATTGCATCATATTTTAGCTATAATAAAGTTGTGGAATTAGTGAAAACCTCAAAATCTCCAATAATTTAACTACATTTATCATAATATTGTTTTTTTTCTTGGTCTTATAATAAAAATAACGAATATTTCTAATATTTTTTTGATAAATTGCATACCCATTTGATCGACCTACCCCGACCTGCGACCCATGATAAATTACCCGACCTGTACCCGACCAGCCACGGGACGGGTCTTGGTACCAAGAAACCCGCCCCGGACCTTCCCATTGCCATTCCTATTCGTCATTTGTATCTCCTTCTTCGCCACTAGATTCAGGCATTTGCTTTCCACAAATTGATTAACAAATGACAATCATCATAAGATAAGTATCTGCGAGGGACAATATTCCCCACTGCGTAGACACTACAACAGACACAATGAACCATCACAAGTTCAAGAACACTGGTTGTACTCTTTAAGAACTAAAACCACAGAGAGAAATGAAGTGACCCAAGAATCAACACAGCCATCCGCCATCCCTGCAAAAATGGTGCTCTCTTCCCTAAACCTGCAGAGCTCGCTGTTTCCTTTGCTGCAGCTCCAGCTCCAGGTGCTGGAGCTACACCAGCCTCTGGTAGCTCACATTCCCCAAACGCCATGCCTTGCTGCCAAAGTTACCCGAAACAACAACAACGAATTGTGAGTTCACAAAATCTCAACCATTCCATAGATGAAACATGAATCTGATTAACAACAGAGTTGTGTACCCTGCAAGAATCGATGTTCCCACACCCGCAAACAAGCTTCCCATTCGTGACATCCGTCGCTTGTGGAGCTCCCCCTCCATCGCTTCTCTGGAACACAAATTCATGTTGGAGACGCAACTGGTGAGGCTACTTTTCCTTGCTTAATAAGCGATGTATGGTACACGAGCATGTATTATGTATATACCGACCTTGTAGAAATCGACTGTGATGAAGTTAGGCCATCGGTTGTCTGCTGCCGAATGGCATGTGTCTGTCATGCTCATCAATGGGGCAGAGTTCTGCTTACAAGCCTGCGAGAGGTCGGGGTTATCAGGGAAGTAGTTCATTAGCACCAGTGATCTTGTTGTTGTATTCATGGCTGATGATTCTGCCCGGTTTGGGCACGAGCCAGCCACCATCCCACCGTTCCCATCTGTAACATCATTTTCATTCACTTATCACACTCCAAACATTAGGATGCAAAGCGGATTATGTTACAGCAAGACAGTTTGAGCTAGTCAACTGAAACTCACATTGGTTTTCGACCACATATCTCCACTCGTAAGCAATCCCTTCCGAGGCTTCCTTGGCTGACTTGGAAGTGAAGACTACCAACCGCTGATTGTTCTTTACCATATCGTCAACCGTCGGCCAGTCCCCGCCATTTTTGGGCATCTTTGTCACTGGAAACCAGTACTTCCTCAGGCCAGCAGCATTGAAAACTTTGGTTAGTCCGTTTGAGGAAGTAACATAGTCCTCTATGAAGATGGTGATGATCTCAGAGGGGTTCGATTCGAGGAAAGCTTGAATCTCCTTGAGTACATTCACAGCCGGTTGCTGCCCCACAATCAAGGACAAAGCACGGTTAATGTCATAACTATTTTTGCAGGCATTTGAAGTTATGAACTTGGAAATTTCGAAGATCAAAGCATCTTACAAAAGCAGTCACATTGAAGCATCTTCCTCCGAAAGAATGGCATAACCAGACATCATTCATGAAGTCGTACATGTCCAGCATCAAACCTCTCACCCCATTCTGTGGGAATAATAAAACAAAAGTTCAGACCAAATGAAGTCCAATATGAACGACTGATGAAAAGACAACAATCCTTCAGCAATCGCCTCATAAAGCACAGAGCTTTTTATTAATTTCTCGCCTATGACACTTGTTTGTGTGTATTTGACATCGCCATTTAATTTTTCAACCGACAAAATCTTGAAAGAGAAACCTCCAGAACATTTATTCATTACAGCCTGCAACCTTAGAAAAACCCATGTTCTCCAAGGACGACCTTGTCAATGTGATCACATGTGGAGAACACGTTAATAAAGTAAGCTGGAGAAATAAATGAACGAGGAAATCGTATCCACACATAACCACTTAGATCATTTGGTAGGAAAATGAAGAATCTTTGAATAACTTTGCTGCTAAAGCTTGTGTTTCTTTTATCTAGAAGGTTAGGTCCTTTAACAATTCGCAGGCAATATTTTGCTTTCCAATTCTTCACTGCAAAGGTTAGCTACCCATACTTCTATTAGTTCATCATTAAAAAAGGCATCATCTGCAACCAAGAAAGATAATAATAATATACTCATTTAAGGATAGCAGTCCAACACAGAAATTGCAAACCACAGTCACAAGTCATTTCATTAATTATGAAATCAATTTCCACGGAAACCCATGATTAATTTATCAATCAAAGTATGAACCCCATGCTGATGGCTGTCCCACGCATAAAAAGTAAGCAGCTAGTTGCCAAATTAGGGTAACCTTCAAGCTTCAACCATACCCCAAATAATTTGTTTAATGAACAAAACCACCACTTACAGTGACACTTTTTTATTTATCTTCAAGCATCCAAAAAGCTTCTGACTTTGCTTGACAGCAAGAAACAACTCCAACAACAACACAAGACAAACAGTACACGACACATCTGCACTTCATCATCAGAACCCACCAACATACATTTCCCCCCTAAATTTCTGAGAAAACAAACAGGCAGGCTTACATTGAGCTGGCTAGTAATGGAGTCTTGCTGGTTAGTGGGAGCTAGAATGATGGACCCAGTTGCGGACTTCTCCCCCATCATGGCAAACGAATTGTGGGTGGTAAGCCATGTGTACCGATTGAATGGCAATCCCTTCACCTGGACAATAGAACAAACACCTAGGTTGCATACTTGGGAAGCAATTGGAAATTGGGGGCTCGATTATGAAATGAACTGGATTTTTTTTTCCTTACACAATGATATACCTTAGAAGTTGGGATTATGGGTTGGATTCTGGTGCAACGAGGGCGAACATTGCCGTTAGCCACACAGGTTTCACAGTGGAGCCCCGAGTCGCAGAATCTGTCTGCTGCACAAGTTTGGCCTTCCTGAGGCAGAAGAAAAAAAGGAACATAAAGTTTGTATCTTTGAGACCTGAAAGACAAAACCCATGAAGGGTTTTTGTACTGGGCTTGGATCGTTTCGTTTAACCTACCTTAAGAGCAGTGGAGAAGGAGAGGAGAAGAGTTGCAGCAAGCAGAGAAGCAATGGAAATGGTATTCTGTGAAAAGAAAAAGGCGCAAAACAGAGTGGAAGCTTCAGTAGTTGAGGTTTCAGCGTGTAAATGAGAATGGAATGGGGGAGAAAAAGACAGCAGAATGAAAATGAAGGTTGCAGAAGAGTTGGTTTGCCTGCAATTGCATCCTTGGGTGTGTGTCTTCGTATATTTGCTGGTTTTCAGTTCTACCAAGTTATTACAAGGCAAAGAGACAGAATGCAGGATGATGGGAAGTGGAGAAATGGGCAAATTAGGCAAGCAGAGAGATAGTGTGGCATTTGGGAGGAAGAAGAGGATGAGTTAACAACTTTATATACGTGTCCGTAGTGGAGGGAATTGGTCTCGTCCAACATTGTAAACCTGGTTTGGCCCGTTGTCCCGATTAAGAAAGTGGGTTCAGGTCAATGGTCTGATCGGTGATCGCTTTAGTCTCGGTTTAGTTCTGATTAAATGTCATTATTTTGTTCATACATTTATAAATTATATCAAAACTCATCTACATATGGATAATAACACATAACATTATAGCAAAATAACAAATCATACATGGATCCAACATATAATGAAAATCCAAACGCACTCGGGTAAAATACCTTGGGTACCACTAAAGTATGAGGATTGAGGGAGCTATACCACTTAACTAAGAATATGGCATCGCGTACCCAGTGGCGGAGGCAGGCCATTTGGGCTTTGTCACGGGACAGAGGTAAATTTCGGAGAAACAAAAATATGTCATATATATTTATATTGGTTATGGAACACAACATCTATAGGTAGTATTAGAGTATATTGTCACTACAACATAACTCATAGTTTGTTCAAAAATTGACATAAAATTAATTTATTATACTATAAACGAAATTCCAATTGCAACAAAGACCTAATCAGATATCTTTTTTCCTTATGCCTATTCGATCTTTTCCCCTACAACCCTGAAATTGTCTAGCGACAACGACAATTTCACTAGTTTTGATTCTACCAATTACAACTACAAGTATAAAAAGAACAAGTTTCCAAGTCGATATACAGTTTGATAATGCTTGTTTAGCGAGATACACTGAAAGAGACTTATTTAATAGTGTAGACAACAAATATTTTTGTGTTTCTTTCACAATATGAAATCCCTTCGTGGTCGTTTCTGAAAACCATGATTGTATAGTCGGTTATTTTTAATCTATAAATGAATTATCTTAATAATATTATTATTTTTTATTAAATAATTCTTAATTAGATACTTATATATTTAAGTTATAAAAAGAGGACAGGGGTGGTTAAAAATGCTGCCTCCGCCACTGCGCGTACCATTGAACTCTATTATGTATGAACCCTGTAGCACTTAAATTTTGTTGCTAGGATATTCCGTTAAAGTTGACAGAATATTATTGGAACATTCCATTTTCTAAATTTTATAATTGGTCCTTCTACTTTTCTTATTGTAAAAAAGTCATTTGGACTTATGAAAAACATCTTTTTTATCATTAGTTAAAATCATTTTTGAAAACTTGATACCAAACCAAATTTTGAATAGAAAATTTATAATCAATTATCATCTATTCTAATTATTGAATTATTCACTGAAGCAAATATATCCTATAAATTTTGTTTAGTTTGAATCCTCTTTTGAAAACTATGATACCAAAACAATTTTTAAATATGAAATCTAGAATCAATTATCATTACGTGTTCTAATAACTGGATAATTTCTTGAAGCAAATATATCATATGAATTCTATCTCGATATAAATAATCGGAGGATATTATATTAATTCTCTTACATTATGCTGATGTTGTCTAATTTTACATGTTAAATCTCTTTTTAATTCTCTAATATTATATTGTATATGTTTCATATTAGTTAAATTTACTAATTCTATCTCTCTTCCTATAGTCTAATTTTACATGTCCAATTACGTGTTCTAATAATTGGATAATTTCTTGAAGCAAATATATCATATGAATTCTATCTCGATATAAATAATCGGAGGATATTATATTAATTCTCTTACATTATGCTGATGTTGTCTAATTTTACATGTTAAATCTCTTTTTAATTCTCTAATATTATATTGTATATGTTCCATATTAGTTAAATTTACTAATTCTATCTCTCTTCCTATAGTCATATTTTGTTTTCTACATTTGTTACTGAATATTGTAGTTTTTATAGTTTATTTATTACTTGGTTACATGCTGCCTCTTTTCGTTCTAATTTTTCAATTACCGGACTATGTTTAATTCTTACATTGTGTTCCATTTATCCTTATGTAATGACTAATGATGAACGATTAGGTTCTATTTTAACTGTTTTTAATGGCATTTCTATTGAATCAAGGGTTTAAATATATCTTCTAATATTGATTTTAAAATTTTATTATTATCTTTTAGTATATTTATTATTCTTCTTGATATTCGTTTATTATTTTTACTAATTTATCTATGTTATTGAAAAAAATTAAAAGCCATTCTAGTAGTACTATGTTTAGAAGGTTTTCTAATTTTTATATTAGATAAAACTTGTTGAAATGTAGTTTTGGATATTTAAAAAGTTTTGGGTACCAAAAAGTAATTAAAAGTTTTGGGTTTGATGGAAAACTAGACGGATGCACATTTTGGCGACTTTAATTGTACGTGACGCTCTATTCAAACTTAAGTAGTATGTCTACTTCAATTCTCAAACCTAAGTGGTACCCGAGATATTTTACCCAACACTCTCATATAATATCAATATTCAAATGTATAAACAAGAATTCCAAAAGTAAAATTAGGCGAAAGGAAAAGTAGAAAAGATACGCAATTTGCAAACCAAAGAGGAAAAATGACCTACAGCCCAAGAACCTTACCACGGGTCGACCCGTTGGTTGTCTGCCACTCGTTTTCCTCACCGGATCCATGTCAATTCTGGTCAGCCCGCGGATTGACAACCTTGATTTCTGCTGAGTTTGTTCTTATTTTCTTCAATCTCAAATTAAAAGCAAAAAGATATTTCGTTACTTTATTCAGATTTAATTTTAATCATAAAACAGTTACTGCATACACGTGTACAATAATTGTGCCTCAATTGTTTCATATTGCTAAAACATCTATCGGTTTGAGGTTCAGTATCTAGTGTTCCCGATCCGACCGAACGATAGGATCAAATTTCTAAAATATTGGCTTTTCATCCAAAATCTTCTAAATCACCGGGCAATTCGTCCAAATCATTGATAAAAAAAGGTTATGCGGACTCTCAAAATTACTGATTAGCTGTCGAGCAATAGAGGAAGAGGTTAGATCGAGTCGCGAGTTTGATTTAATTTTAAGTGTGAATTAAAATGAGCCGTTCATGTTAGCTAGTTAGGTTTATATTTCATTTCCGTTGCCAATTTGAAAGAATTAACATGCCAACGTTTACAATCAAGACGAATAGAGTGATGCGAGTTGTTCCGAAATTTTGTTAAGAAAGACAAACTTCAGGCGAAAAAGTTTTAGTGACCACTTAAGCAATGTTCCAAAGAAATCATCCAAGAACAATACTAAAAACTACCTAGAAGGAAATCCAATTATTAATCTCTCTCTAACTTTACCTTTTTCAAATTTACTCTCCCTTCTCTCTAAAAAGCCTCTTTTCCAGCCTTCCATGGCTGCCGCCGACTGCTTCAGGTGATCGGCGGCAACCCAAATTTCTAATTCTTTCTCTTTTCTTGCTTGTCGTGTTTTCGATCTTCAGGCCTTTGCTTCTAGGCTTTTCATCTTCATGATTTCAGTCTCTCCAGCCATTTTGGCATTCCAGATCTAGGATTTTGCGGTTTCAAGGCTTGCTCGTTTGAGGATCTGGAGGTTGCAGCTTGGGAAGCTTGACCTTTGCTTTGTGATGGTTGTTCTTTCCAGGTTGGTGGTCTCATATGCAAGGTGAAGCCATTCGCATCTCCCCCCCTCTGGCTTCCCCAAGGTGTTGTTGCTTGGATGGTTGTCGGATCGTGAAGAGGTGAGTCATCTCCGGTGGTTGCGGTGGAAGTCGGTTCTTTTGTGGTGGTCTGTTGATCTACTTGGAAGCTTGCTCCCCTTTGAACCGATCCTCTCTACCTTGGCCCCCTCTGCCTTCACAGCTTGGAGCAATCTGCATCACAGCCTCTTCCACCGTCAGGCAATCTCTTTTGAGATTCACTGTGATGGATGACTTTGTGCACTCCCCAGGAGACGGCAAATGGCTTGCAAGTCCAATGCCATGGATCTCGCTGTGATCGGACAAGCTGTTCTGATCTTCTTGCTCTTGGTTTGGTTGGAAGAAAGAGGGATTATAAATGCTCTGTCTTTGTCTCAAGAACTTGGATGATTGTTTTGAGTGATGTCATTCTGTTTTGTGCTTCCACTGGTTGTATTTTCTTAGCATGGTTTGGTATCATCCTGGGTTCCATTGTTTCCTTGATCTTGTTTTGAAGTCAAGTTTTTATTTTCTCTCTATAACCCATTATTCAAAGTGCAATAAAGATCTCTTGTCAAAACAATACTAAAAACTAAAAAGAGAAACACCATTGAAACAGCAGAGTCTGTGGTGGGAGTGAAAGCTGGAAGAAATCAGAAATCAAATGAGAGCAGCCACCACAGCATCACTGTTGGTGACTGATTGAATCAATTGGACCCACATTTTGCTTCCATGGACGCCCCGCTTGCCCCCAAGTAAAAGCCAGAGTGTAGCACTCTAGCAGACCCACATTACACAGAGAGAGAGAGAGAGTTGCGACGAACGACGACCAAGGTGCACAGCCAGAAAGAGACGACGCAAAGACGGAAACTTTCCCATTCCCCATACACCTCTCTCTCTCTCTCAAAAGTCGCATTCCCCTCTTCTCTCCCTCCTCACGAACTCACCAGCCTCTTCTGCTTCCTGGGTACTCACTCTGCTGCATAGAACCCACATTCCGCTCCTAATCAATCGACCCCACTAAAAAAATTCTTTGCTTTGGTTGGCAGTTTCATTCTGCTTTGTTCCCCCTTTTCACCACCTTGCACCGTCTGTCTCTCACTCCTCTCGGGGTTCCTTTGGTCGGCTGCTCTCCTTCTTGACAAGTTTGACCATGGCGGCGGGCGCGCGGCGGGCAGTCCTGCTGTGGGTTTTGCTCACATTTCTGGCAATGCTGCTGCTTCTTCCTCTTCCTCCGGTCACTGCTGGTTCGTTTCCCCTGCTCTTACTTTGTATACAGAATCGCCTTTGTGTTTGTGAAATTGCCTCAACCAACTTTCTGCTCTCGAGTTGGTGCCAAATGGGTCCTTTTCTGGGCACTGCATGCCCATTGAGTTGCCTTTGTTGCGGTTTTTTCTTGGTTGCGAATGTTTTATCTGCAATGGATGAAGTGAACAATTAGAGGGGAACATTTCCTTCGTGTTTTACAAGCATGGATAGTTCATATTCTGCACAAACGCTTAACAAAAATGCTCTAATATTACAGGGTTGATTCAAGAGCTCCTCTGGCTTATGATTTTTGGATTAGGTTGTAGAGAAGTTTATTTGTATGATTTGGATTTGGGTATTGTAGTTGGCCTTTGTTGGACTTGGTTTGAAGTAAGATAATTGCTAATCCCTCTCAAAGGGACCTTTTTTTTTCATACCTGAAGCACATTGTTGATTAGCTATTTGCTTGCTACTTCTGCAGATTGCCCCTTGGATTTAAGCGGTTCAAACTTCACATTGGCAGCCTCATTGTGTTCCAAGAAAGAAGACCGAGGGAAGTGTTGCCGCTACATTAATGCTTTCATTGCAGTATCAGCCTCCCGCTATGCAAATGCAACGGGCAACTTAGGGGTCCCCTCCAATCTATCAGATACATGTGTTGGGTCCATCACTCAGACCATGCAACTGTACGGACTTCCACAAAATGCAACTCTTTTCTGCGGATTTGGTACTAAAATCCCGGTTCACTACGAGTGTATGGAGCGAACTACAGTCGGCGAGATGCTGCAGTCTCCAGAATTTGAGAACGTTGTGCAGAACTGTGAGGTGCCAGTTTCAGGGGAAGCCGATTGCAGGAAATGCTTGAATGCGGACATTGTATACCTTCATCATCTGGTTGGAACGGATGACAATGTCACATTGAGTATCTGCAGGGATGCAGCTTTTGTTGCACTCACAAGCCGAGTTGATGCTGCAACTACTGTTAATTTCGCACGTTGTTTCTTTCAAGTTGACGGTCTTGTATCTCCTCTAGGTATATGCATGTCTTTAATTACTTATGTTGTCAAGCTCTTGCAGTTGATGTTCATAAATGGCCTTAAGAATTCATTAACCATTTTCATGATTTTTGTATGGATTTCTGTTAGTGTCATCGCCTTCTGGAAACATCACTGAAACTTCTCCTAGTCCTTCATCTGCTGCAAGCCCCGACCAAGCTTTGTTAGGATTACCACAAGATGGCAACCATCATCACCCCTATCACTTGACATTGATTCCTGGAATCGGGATCGGAGTTACACTGTTTGCTTTCGTTGTGTTGATGGTTTTGGTAGTTCTTATTCGGAAAAAGAGCAAGGAGTTAGATGATCCAGACAATCTAGACAAGGCATCTTCTAAAGCTTTTTCTGCTTGGACAACACGAAAATTTCAACAAGGTTTAACTTCTTTAGGAGCTTGCTGAATCAAGTTTGTTTCTGGGCATTCTTTTATGGTTAGCATTTCTTATATTCTTTGTTTCTGTTCTTACTTGTGTTTTTGGGGCTTTGTACATGTAGGATCTGCAGCGATGTTTCGAAAATTCAGCTACAAGGAAATAAAGAAGGCAACAGACAACTTTACTACAGTAATAGGAGAAGGAGGATTTGGAGTTGTTTACAAAGCTCAGTTTAGTGATGGGTCAGTGGTGGCAGTGAAGAGGATGAACAAAGTTTCAGAACAGGGAGAAGATGAGTTCTGCAAAGAGATTGAACTTCTTGCTAGATTGCATCATCGTCATCTAGTCGCTCTCAGAGGATTTTGTGCAGAAAAGCATGAGAGGTAGTCATTTATTTCTCCATTTATGTCTGCTAGTGTATGGTTACTGAATCATATCATGCAAGAAGATTCATAAAAAAAAAAAAATATCATGCAAGAAGGCCAGCTTTTGTTTGTGGAGTCACTATAATCCATCAACTATTATAGCTGAAATATCACATTAGTAAATTCTTTGTGCATTTTCATCATGATCGTAATTTGATATTAAATTTCAGGTTCCTTGTGTATGAATACATGGCAAATGGAAGCCTGAAGGATAATCTGCACTGTATGTACTGTTTTTCTTGCTATTTCTGTCCTATTCGGATAGGTTTCTGTCATGCAGCTGAATTGGAAATCTTGATAAGAAAAATCTGTATCTTATAGAGGATTTTCTTAGTTGATGATGGGAAGTTGATGGTTGATTCTGAATCCTTTTATTCCCAAATCTTTGCAGCTCCTGGAAAAGCTCCTCCAAGTTGGCAGACCAGAATCCAAATTGCTATTGATGTGGCTAATGCTCTGGTATTTAGGAAAAAACATCCTCACCCTTGGCACCCATTTGCTGATTCAAATAATTTAGAACGCGTCGCGTTCTTTTGCCACTGTTCTTAGTCTAAATTCATTGTCAATGCAGGAGTATCTCCACTTTTACTGCGATCCACCTCTTTGCCACAGGGACATCAAGTCCAGCAACATCTTGCTCGATGAAAATTTTGTAGCCAAGGTACAATATCAGTTAACTGAAACTTAGGCTTCTGTGATTTTAGAACAGACAAGAAATGTCTCCTTCTGTGTTGCATGTCTCATACTTTCCTGATACTTCCTTTGTCTTCCAGGTTGCAGATTTTGGACTTGCACATGCTTCAAAAGATGGTTCAATATGTTTTGAACCTGTAAATACAACTGATATCAGGGGAACTCCAGGTCAGTAATTTTTCCCCAAATACCATATAGAATCATATTTCAATCTTTATCAAGAGGTCTAATAAAATGCAGCAAATTTCCAGGTTACATGGATCCTGAATATGTGGTAACTCAAGAGCTCACTGAGAAAAGTGATGTGTATAGCTACGGAGTGGTTCTTCTGGAGATGGTCACGGGAAGACGAGCAATACAAGACAACAAGAATCTGGTGGAATGGTCTCAAATATTCATGGCCTCAGAATCAAGACTACCCGAATTAGTTGATCCACGTATTAAGGACTCGTTTGACTTTGACCAACTTCAAACTATTGTCAGCACTGTGAGATGGTGCACCCAGAAGGAAGCCACGGCTAGGCCTTCAATCAAGCAGGTGATCCGGCTTCTGTATGAAAGCTCTGACCCCATGCATAGTGGGTTTGTTGAGGCACTGGAAGAAGAAGAATTCGAAGGTAGGGGAAGAACAAATAGTAAAGGGAAAACAAGTAGAAGTGGTGATGTGATTTTCCACAGTGGAGATGCTAGATGTCTGGCCTCTTCATCAAGTACATCAAGATCACATTGTAGCAGAACTTTTCTACTTGAAACTGGCTCTCCACAATCTCCCCCCAACATGTACTCCCTCTGACGATACTTTGTCTACTATAACTCCCATTGACACTTATGTTAAGTCTAGCTTTTTACATAATAGTAACCTTGCTAAATGAATTAATCTCCACTGAGACATGTCCTCCCTTTGGCGCTACTGATCGTGGTGAAGTCCAAGGAGATGCCATCTTCACGTATTTATCGTTCTAAACTTGAACAAGACAAGCTTCCCAGATTTGCAGCAACTGCTGGTTTGACAAATGACAGGATCCTGTATGATAACAAGACAGAATGGATTAGCTAAGTTCTCTTGTCCTTTATATCTTGCTGTCAGCAATGGTTTATTCTTCTTTGGAATCCTCCTCCGAGAAGGATTAGCTTTAGCTACCAACCGAACATACTTTGAAGGATTTCTTCAGTTTGTAACAGCATTTCCAAGGCTCGGGTTCCTGTTTTGATACGGGCATGCCACTTTTTCTTATTTGCAACTGTAACTCCCAGCTTACAATATTTCTGATTGTAGAAACACAAGTGCAATTCTCAAAGTGAATACAGAAAACAGAGCGAATGATTAAAACAAAGCTGCAGCCTGCAGGGGAAGGGGAGACTAATGCGGGCATTGTGGCGCTTGTGCCATCATCATCACTATGCAGCTTTTGTTTTGGAAGCAGCTTCTTCGTCTAGAACTGAAAGGCGAGCTCGGACATGGGCAAGATGCTTCTCGCTAGGCTGCAGGCATTCCATAACGAGGTCATTAGCTTCCAGCTTCGCCAGCCATTGGACCAGAACAGGAAACTTCTCCTGTGTCATCAACTCTGCTTCTTTCACTTCTTGCACCACCCCATAGACATGCATAATGAAGAACGCAGCAATGTCCACGAACCCGATGCTGTCCCCTCCGAAGTAGTCCTTCCCCGCCAGCTCAGCCTCCAGCATCTTGAGCTGCTGAGAGAACAGTTCAATGCTGTCCTCTTGCGCTTTGTCCTTCCCCAAGTACGCAATGGACGCCGTCTTGAAGACCTGAAAGCATTACACCGTCACGTTCGCAGAACTATACGAGTAGAAAACATTCACAACGAATGGTTACCTTTTCGTCGACAAAATTGGCCCAGAAACGAGCATTGGCTCTGCCATGAGGATGTTTGGGCAGAAGAGGGGTGTGTTTCCAGGTCTCGTCGATGTATTCCATGATGACGAAGGATTCTGCAATGGCATTCCCGTTGTGGAAAAGGACAGGGACCTTCTTGTGAACTGGGTTGGACTGAAGGAGCAGCTCGCTCTTGTTCCATATGTCCTCGTCGATCAGTTGGTACTGCAGGCCTTTGAGCTTCAGGGCTAGTTCAACTCTCTGGCAGAAGGGGCTTGCCCAGAGTCTGAGCAGCTTGATTTCGTCCGCCATTTTTGAGGTTCTGCACTGATTCTTGGTGGACTCCATATCTGTATATGTAGATAGATGCTGAAAGTCAATGATGAGTGGATTCCTAACACCTCGAGAACACATGTCATGGCTGACATCATTTCTATGGATATTATATCTCGGTCGTTAGTTTATACTCTTCTATATTCATTCCTCGGTTGAACTTAGATTCCTACATCTGCTGCTGGAGGGATCCGATCCTGGCAACAAGACAAAACGGATGGGTTCAATTCTCCCCATTTTATGTCTTCCCCGCCATGGTTAGTTGGTTCTTTTCTTTGGAATCCTCCTCCAATAAGGATTAGCTCCTGCTGAGGATACTTTGATGGAATGCATAATTTCCAAGGTTCAGCGCCATGTTTTGGTCTTTGCAGCAAAGTTTCTGGTTCGATCTAATCGATCGATGCTACTGGGATTGTTGTTGCTGTAGATCATATTCAGTTGATTTCATCGAGGGAATGGGTTTTTGGCAGTTTCAGATAGGTCTATCTATGTATAAAGTTGACGACTTTGAGCAGCTCTTCACTCGAATAGCACTTCAAAGAATAAAAGGCTCCAATGGGTTCTGTCATTACTGTCTTCCTTCTCGCTGGCTGCCACGTCACTGTCCATGTGAGAAGATGACCGTCAGACCTACATCATCCACATGAACAATACGAACACGACCACCGTGGTTTTATCGGAAGGTGGTCACAAATGCGGCTGCTGCTGGGAGCGTTTATCCTGCTGATCTTGTGACACCAAGGGGGATGAAGGAAGTGGTGGAGCCGAAGATGATCAGCTTCCGCGAGAAGTACAGCCCGGTTGCGTTTAACTTGACCGTGGAGGTCGATTTGAGTGGAGTTGGCAGAGCGGATGATGTTGGGATTAAGAGTGATTACATTGGGAATCATGGCTACTTGAGTTGGGTTGAGCTGAATGGAACACATGTCGTCAGGAGTCCGATCGTCTTAGTCATTGCTTCTCCAAGAACTTGAAGTCTTGGATAGGGGATGAAGGCGAAATAAGACCATGAAAATGGTTGCTATTGTCAATAAGAGATCGATGTGGTCATCCAAACTATATGGATCGATTGGAATTTAGTAATTTACCGTATCTCCTTTCCTCTGTACAGACAGGTACTGTCAATAAGTAGTATATTGCCAACTTGGTGCACAATCTAATAAGCTAGAATGAAGCAATTAACTTGTAATATGGTTCAACAGAAAGATGGCAGCATGCATCTGGAACTATGCATTTACATGAACTTGGCTACAGAATCTCTAGGGCATGGGAAGGAAAACAAAGACAGATGAGACTTGACAATTGAAGACAGACAAACTGATCTCTCAAGTAGTCAAAAAAATATTAGCTGAGACATCATCAAAAGGGCTTCAACATCATCATCATCATCACCAGCAAGAGTATTTGCTCTTGCCACAAACTAACAGCAACAAACAACAGAAAGAAATTGCAGATGAAGGGACCAAAAACACCCATCATCATGAAATTTGCTCCGGGGAACATTTCGACTCGTAAATGCTGAAGGAGAGCTCAGTAGACTTACAACACACTCCTTGGATACTAACAGTTGCTTTATCTTACAGCATACCCAGTACAGTTTTGCCACTGAAGCTGCAAACCATCATCAGCCAAGGCAATGAAAGATTTCATCAGCTGAAATATATCAGCAGACCAGAAATCTCTCATTCGTACAAGAAACCTGTGGAAAAGACATTGATGGTTTCGATTAGCAATTGAATGTGTCAAGGCAATCTTCAGAGGAGTGACAAATAACAAAGCAGTAGAGCGTAAGAGAATCCACAAAGTAGAATGTGCATCCTTCTCAAATTTGTGACAATATTCGGTTTGATGAATGATTCTTGCAGTATGTTCTTAACCCTATAAAATCATTGGAGATTAAGAAATTAGGCGAAAGAAACCAACTAAACTGGATAATTAATTGCCAACTAATAGCACCTAATTCCTATCAAGTTGGCTACATGATTAACACCCTTCAGTAGTTTCGTATGATGGTATCACCACCCACTGACTATTTGATCTTCCTATCAATTGCAGAAATAGTAAGGGACTAAGCGAAAAATTACATGCAATCAAGTTCAGTGAAGACACATGCATGAACGAACAAAGCGGTAATATTACCCTATCACATATGCAAAATGGAAGGGGAAAACGTACTCTTGAGTCTGGTCTATGTACATGCAGCAAAGTTTGCAAAAGGCCCGAGCAACTCTTCTAGCCACCAATAGCATCCACAAACTTTCTCTTACTCGCAGGATCTTCATGCAAGACAACCACATCCCTAACTTTATCAAAAAGCTCCTCCAGCTGAGTGACACCAAAACATTGCAGGTCCAGCCGTTTCTTGTACCGTTGCTGGTATATAGCCTCAAAACTTCCCAAGAAAATACGACAAGAATAGCTCACCAAAATCTCCTGTAACTCGAACTTGAATTGCTCCAAATAACCATTATCACCTTCTTCACATTGAGATACATGTGCTGTACTAGTCTGGATCACTGGACTTCTCCTCTCCTCAAGTTCTTCAACTCCCACTCCATCATCATCTGAGAACTCATCAGAGGACACAAACCCATTACCTGCCACTTCCAAACCCTCTTGAGCTCCTTTTCCTTTCCTATCCTTTTTGGAAAGACTTAAGGGATTGACAACAATCAAAGGAGGAGCACTTGGACCTGATTTCCAATTCTGAAGATACACAAATTTCCTTTTCCCTTTCCCATCTATTGAAATCACATCATTCATTCTGCTGAAAAGATTGACAAGCTTGGATGCACCATACTCTGATACATAAAGCGGCCGTCCATACATCTTTTGGTACTCAGATGGAATACGTTGAAGAGGTAAACATCCACTAAAGAGTTCAAGCAACTTTACTAACTGTGTCTTCAAACCATGTACATCCCCAGGTTGAACCCACATTACAGAACTGTATTGATCATCATAAGGAGCAAGGCAAGCCGATGGTACTTCACTCACACCATTTGGAAGACTCTGTGTCCTCATCCCTGTAGGATAATTAGGCAGGTTCCCACTGCTGTATTCAGCTAAAGAGTGTGAAACTAAGGATAAATCTCTCGAGTTGTAGTAACTTTGAGAAACCCCTCGATAGACAATTGCCTCCTCCTCATTTTGGTACTCAGGACTCTCATTGATATGACATCCCATGAGACGAAGGTCAACTGGCAGTCCATGAGGGGGCATTAAGGACTTCGAACGGGACATGAATCCCTCTCCACGGCACACACTAGGCCAGTCCCAAACGAATTTACCAGCATTGCACAGTGCGGACGAGACACCAACTCCAGAAGGGATAACTAGGATAATGGTATATCCACGTTGACCTAGAATATGCAGAGCTGGAGCGAAGTCAACGTCCCCTGAGATAAGCATGATGGAGGAAGGTGGTGGATTGTCGAGTGCAAAAAGAAACATGTCGACGAGAATAGCCTTGTCAGCTGCATCTTTCCTACCGTTCGGAACATCTATAAGTTTAACGCCAGTTCTCTGACATCCCTCCCTTAGTCGCCTAGGGAAGGCATTGAAATCTCCATAGGCCGAGAACGTCATAACTGCTCCTTTAATCACAGGGTGCACCTGCAATGCCATCCTGATATTCCCACCTACATCTTCAGGACGGACGTCGCTTGGAACCGGGCAGTTCTCGATGTCCCAAAGGATAGCCACCGGACCATCTGATGCCGCTCGGTTTTGGTGGATCATGTTGGGTTGAACCATGTGTTGGTTCGAATTAGACACTTGCATTCCCCCAAGCTCGGAGGAAACAGCAGGAATCATCGAAGATAATGAACTTATATCAGCCATCAGTTTAATTCTATGTATCCCAAAGAAAAGCCCCCTGCAGTGGATAGATAGTAAGAACCTGCTGAGACTAACTCAAAAAACTCAACTTTCAGACACAGTCCTGCATATTGACTACCACACACACATCCTAACCAAGAATTACTACTAACCAGTGCTATTTGACAACAATCAAACCAAATCAGTAAACATCTCATGCCCTTAAGCTCACAGCAATCTCCATTTCGTGAAAACCCCAAAACCAACAAAACAGCACCAGTGTTCAATTTCTAGAACCACCACCCAACTACTCAAAACAGTTTACAAACAGATAAAACTGGGCAGAGCATTCTCAATTAACCATCCTTCGACTGAGAACTTAATCAATCAAAATTCATTTGAATGAGGAGCGAGGGAAGTTGAATTGTATCCGGCCATACCTTTTGTGTTTTCAACAGAAACAGATACTCGCCGATCCTGAAGACCACCGATTCAGGGGAATCGCAGAACAAAGGAAGGGACGCAGAAAAGCGAGAGCGACTTTGGAATCAAGAAGGAGAAGAAGAAAGTTCGATTATTTTTTATACCGGGTGCGATGGAAGTTTTCCAGATGACCGCAAGACTGAAACTTTCAGCTACGGCGAAGTGAAAGAAAGAAACAGGAGAAGAGATCAGAAGGAGTAGCTATGGCGGTGAAGATGGGTTGCTATTATCTTATTTAGCCGTTCTGATGTTCTTCATCGTCATCAAGAAAGAGAAGGGCAATGCGATGATAGCTGCCGCTGCCTGCCAGCCAGCGATCGCATTTAGTTGGAATAGGGTGGGCTTTTGCTTCAGCCCAAAGTAAGAAACGCGTTTCTCCCTGGACCTCAAACCGACCTATTATCTCTTTGGTTCTCTTTTTTCTTGCTTCTTTTTTTTGCTTGGAATGCTTCCCCAAAACAGACTCTTCAATCCCAAAAGAAACTTCTCTCCCAAGTAAACAGAGAGATGAGATCTTCGACGATAGAGTTTGAGGGGAACTCAAATCTAAATCAACGGTTATTTATTAAAACGTTGTAGATACAGATGAAAAGAGGATGCCCAACATGTCATAAGCTTCCAACCACATCAAGGTGCAGGTAAACCCGTTTGCAACTATTTGCAGAAGCCAGCAATGAGCATATATGTTTCATCAGCTCTATATATGTATGTTCTAGTAGACAACTCAAAGCCAAAACAAAATTCCACCACACACCTGATAGCAAGAACCAGAGAAAAACAAACAAACAACAACAGGAAATCGTCGATCCGAGTTTCTATTATGCTCGACGGAGAAGAGAAAAGAAAGAGGCATTCATGGCTTCAGAACCCTCTCGATTGCAGCAGCATAGAATTCCTTGGGCATGGTACCAACCACAGTCTCTTGCTTTTCTCCATTCTTGAAAAGCAGAACCACAGGCACAGCCTTAATGTCATAGTCCTCAGCAATTTCCGAATCATTGTCCGCATTGAGCACGAAGCACTGGATTCGTCCTTGATACTCCCCAGCAAGCTCATCAATCACACGGTGGACCATTTTACAGGGGCCACACCAACTTGCATGGAACTCAACTAAGACCGGGGTATCGCTTTTCAGAATTGACTTCTCCCAGGAGTCCTTGGTAACAACTGCTGCTGCTGAACATACCCAAAAACATAGTGGTTAAAGAAGCCTGTCTGATTACTAGACTCCAGATGTTCACTGAAATCTGTGTATGACAACTTTGATTAAACCAACTATAAAGAAAGCAACAGAAAACAACACTAAAGATAATCAAATCCCCAAGATTCTTCTCAGGAAACTCTCAGCTAAGGAAGATACCATCTGCATGAGATTTTGGCTCATCTAATACTATTCTGGCCATACAGATAGATCCCTTAAGGTACAAGCATATGCCAAATGTTCCTACCAGGCCAGTAACTAAGCATTCAAACTAATCATTGTCATTGAAAACATCTAGTAACCATCCATTGCTTCAGTGGATTGCTCAACTTCCTTGGAAGAGGAGCTTTCTTTTGTATAAGGCTGGCATAGTTCAAATAAAGCATGAAAAGAAGCATTTATAAGTATCAACAAGCACCAGATTCGGCAAAGGGACAGCGTGAGAGCTCCTCGAATGCACAATCTAATCATTCAATACTCTCAACTTCATACATGAAATGAAAATCAAGCATTCTGAGATTACCATTCAATACTCTCAACTTCATACATGAAATGAAAATCAAGCATTCTCCAATCTCAGAGGGAATGCAGGAGGACTCTGAACTTAGAACCATCGTCTCCAACAGCATATTAGCCTAACAGGATCGGAATATGAGTGTAGAAACAGATAATGCAATGATGAAGACTATGACTATCATCGTATTTGGAGAGGCGAATTATGAATTAAGGTTACAGGAAGATACAAGAGATGTGTTTCCAAACTGCTCTAATCAAAAGAACAGCAGGTACAGATAACAAAAACCAATGCTAACATTCTCGTTCCCTTTCCTTCATTGAAATGAAAGCTCAGCCATTGAATTGCTTTCTGCCAGTCTCTGAATCAAGTGCCTAACGATAATGTGCGAAAGCTCTATTGGCCTCTGCCATTCTATGGGTCTCCTCCCTCTTCCTTATAGCATCACCACTTCCTTTGGCGGCATCGATCAGCTCATTACTTAGTTTGAACACCATGTCCCTACCTTGCCTCTTTCGAGCTGCCACCAACAACCAACGAATCGCAAGCGCTTTGCCCTGAGTGGTATCTACCTCAACAGGAACCTGTTGAGTGGCACCCCCAACTCGCCTAGATTTCACAGCCACATCAGGAGTAACTCCTTGCACTGCGTCCCTCAACACTGCCAACGGATTCTGCCCCGTCTTTTCCTGAACCCTTCTCAAGGCTCGGTACATGATGAAATAAGCCAGTGACTTCTTCCCATTTTTCAGGACTCGGTTAACGAACATGCTAACTAAACGATTACGGTAAACTGGGTCGGGTTTTGCCGTTTTCTCTTTCTTGCCACCTTAACAATTGACAAATTTTCCGTCAGAGAAGCAAGCGCACAATTGAATCAAAATCTTAAACCACTCCGACGGGAAGAATCCCACCAATGAAATCAGAAATGCTCGTTAAACAGAAACTGGTGTAAGCCCTAAGCATGAATTTGACGGACAACTATGGCACGCAATCGGAAATTGAAATGCATCAGATGGGAAAACGGAAGGGACGGAATGGGAAACATTTCAAGGGTTGTGTAGCTAAGATGAGGAAGTTTCTACCTTTGGATCCGCGCATGCAAACGACCTTGAGGGGAGAAGACAACGGAGAGCTGGTTAAACGGAGACCTAATCCTCTGACGTCGGCGGAGAGGTTGAAAGGGAAGGAGATGGCGGAGCTGGAACTGAGCTCCGCCGGACGGAGTTTGGCAGAAGCCGAGAGAGGAGGAGGGCGGAAGCACGCGGAAGTAGAAGCCGCCATTTTCAGAGCGCCGGGGAGAGTTCTTTCGGGGTGAGGAAATGGAGAAGACGCGAGTCAGGAAGTCGGAGAAGAAGATCAGATAAGGAGAGAGAATTAAGAGCTGCCAAATTAAAAACAAAAAAAAAACCTTTTTTTATTAATTTTACTGTTTAAAGTGGTAAAAAAAAAAATTTGAACACACCCGGTGGGACTCGAACCCACAATCGTTTGATTAGAAGTCAAACGCCTTATCCATTAGGCCACGGGTGCTTGTTGTTCAATTTGTGATGTCTATATTTAATATTCATAACTGGATTTGACAGTTCGTAGTAAATTACACAAAGCAAGACTCTCAAACTTGTACAGAAGTGGGAAATGTACACAAAGAAATCTAACCACAATGATCATTTATCAAGGCTTTTCAAGGTAATGGCTAGTTCCAATTCCCTAGTGGTTATAGGTTTAACCATCTGTAAAATGTTCACTCTACATTCTACAACTACATCCTGAACACACCAAACTTGGTATCTTCGGAGGGGCGGTTCGTGGAAGCAGATATACACAGCCCTATAACTTTCCTCGTATCGGCTGGATCGATGATGCCGTCGTCCCAAAGCCTTGCTGTGGAATAGTACGAGCTGCCTTCTCGTTCGTATGCCTCCACCACTTTCCCCTTGAAGCTTTCCTCCTCTTCTGGTGTCCACTGCCTCGTCAAAATTTACTCATCATGAGGTGTGACTGACTCAAATGCTTAATATGCAACCGTATGGAGGGAAGAAACAGTGTTGCCGTTTTTTACCTGGATTCCCTGCTTTTTCTTGTTCGCCTTTTCGATTTGAGATAACACCCCAGCAGCCTAGTAGAAAAGAGCAATATAATGTGAGAAGAATAAGAGCTTATCAATCAAGTTGTCAGCTTCCGAAGAAATGACAAAGACTAAGTAAGCACCTGAACACCACCCATGACTGAGATTCTTGCATTTGGCCACATGAAGAGGAAGTCTGGACTATATGCACGACCGCACATTGCATAGTTCCCAGCACTGAAGCTCCCACCAACCATGATGGTTACCTTTGGCACCTATGTTGAGAAAACACTTATCCGAATCAGTGGAGAGTGTTTTTGGAATGATGTTATGTTTCTTTCAGGTTTGTTCATGAACTATGAGACCGTGGTCTGATAAACTTCGTTTTCAGTTGCCGAAACCATACACCATGAACATGCTACTTAGAGGTGGCAAACAACAGCAAACAAGAGGAAGAAGTGCTAGCAACCTTTGCACAAGAAACAGCCATAACCATCTTCGCCCCAGATTTTGCTATACCATTTGCCTCGGACCTTGAGCCAACCTACAAAAGGATCATATACCATTACACAACATGTATCGATCTTCATGCTCCAAAAGAAGGGAATTAACTTACCATGAATCCAGTGATGTTCTGCAGGAAAACTAGAGGTATGTTACGCTGACAACAGAGTTCAATGAAATGGGCCCCTTTTAGAGCAGATTCATTAAACAATATCCCATTGTTTCCAATGATTCCCACAGGTTGTCCAAATATTTTAGCAAAGCCTGTCACCAGGGTCTGCAGAGATGCAACTGAGATTCGTTTACTCACAATATCAAAGTATCAAACAAAGTGAGGTATCGAAGGGTCCTGAGAGGTGCTCACTGTTCCATATAATTTCTTGAACTCATCGAACTCACTTCCATCAACAATTCGAGCAATAACTGATCGAATATCAAAGGCCTGCTTGTGGTCAGCTGGAGCGATAGTTCTCAGTTCCTTTATGTCGTACACTGGCTCTTTATACTCAGAACTTATCTTATGTCCTTCACGTTTGACTCCAGCCATATGCAAGTTCTTGATAATGTTCCTTCCAAGAGCAAGTGCATGCAACTCATCTACAGTTTCAGAAATAGATTCATAGACACATCATCAGATTTGGATTAACATTGTCCTGATGCATCAGAAAGCAATGACAAGGGCAAATTTCTTCCTACCTTGAGCAAAGTAGTCTGAAACCCCTGATGTTTTGCAATGTAAAGAAGCACCACCCAAGTCTTCAGCAGATACTTCCTCTCCTGTAGCAGCCTAACATGGAATTCTCCTTCATTTCAACTTCACCATAAAGTATATAAGATGGATCACCATGCATCTAGAAAACAAGAAGTTGCCACTGACCTTGACAAGCGGTGGTCCAGCCAAAAAGATGGTTGCATTTCCCTTGACCATCACACTTTCATCAGCCATGGCAGGAATGTAGGCACCACCAGCAGTACAGGAACCCAATACCAGTGCAATCTGTGGTATGCCTTCAGCAGACATTACAGCTTGATTGAAGAAAATTCTACCGAAGTTATCCTTGTCGGGGAACACCTCAGCCTGCTTTGGAAGAAAAGCACCACCACTGTCGACGAGATAGATGCACGGCAGTCTGCATCGAGCAGCAATCTCTTGTGCCCTGAGATGTTTCTTCACTGTAATGGGATAGTAAGTTCCCCCCTTGACGGTAGGATCATTCGCTACAAACATACAAAGTCGCCCATGAACAGGACCTATTCCTGTAACTACTCCACCAGAAGGCAGGGATTCATCGTATAATTCATGGCCTGCAAGCTTAGGGCGCAAGAGAAATGAGACATTTCAGTTCACAACATTACCAATATTGTCTGAACTTAAGCCGTAGCCTTCCACCATACGATCCAAATCATTTACAACTAAATTAAGGTTTTAAGAACTCCCAGTACCTGAGAAAGCTCAAGAAATGAAGAACCAGGATCAAGCAGCCGGTCAATTCTTTCTCTTGGCAGCAGCTTATTCCTGCTTCTGTTCCTCTTGACCGCCGCTTCTCCTCCTCCAGCCAGAACCTCCAAAATGACAAAGGCAAGTGGAAAAAACCCCAGCCCATATTAGAATTCTGAATTTCTCACACTACCCACATCACAAAATTTCCCATTTCTTACCTGGTTTATGTTGGATTGGAGCTGGGAAATGAGAGACTCCATAGCCATAGAGTTGTGCGAAAACGCCTCGGAAGTCCTGTCCACTCCATCGGGAAGAACCCCGAAGCTGAAAGCTCTTGTGCAGCGCAGAAGATGAGGCGAGCTCGACTTGGATGCCAAAGAAGCCGAAGCAATTCTTCTCGCCAAACTCCTCAACATTTCTCCCCCTTCTCAAGGTGTCTTGCCGTTTCTAATTCACTCTGTACTTCGTTCTTCCGCCTTCCCGATCATATAAACGCCTTTTCTCCGTTTCTTCTTTTTGTTCATCAATCTTCAGTGATCGGATTCACTGTGTTATATATTGCCTATGAATTTACTAATTAGTTGAAAGTAAATATTTTTTTATTTTATTTTTTAAGTTCTGGATAAGATGGACGAGTCCAAAAATTGTCGCGCGCCTTTCCACTTGCTAGAGCCTAGACTCTAGAGACTGGGAAGCAAAGCAATTCGAAAATCCATCACTGGCGTCGTTGTTCTGTACGCTGTCTGCTGCAAAGCTTCCTGATCTCAAGCTCTACTATTCAATGGCTGTCACTCGACCTTTTTCTTCTTCTTCTCTGACTTGTGCCTCCGTCATTGAATCTCCTCCCCGGCGAAAATCAGTGGCTCCGAGAAACCGCTCTTCGAAACCCATCTCCCAAACGACTTCCCTTCCAATACCCACGACTCCAACCACCAGTAGTTCCTTCTCCGGCGGACCGGCGCGCCAATTTCCATCGTCCCTCCCAAAAAGGTGTCTCCTTTGTACTTCCAGTTCAATGATGGAACAGTGTTTGGTCTGATTGAGGGGGAATTGAGGTAGTCTTTTTCTTTTTTACGCAGGTCCTTGTTCCCATTGGATTTGGCACTGAAGAATTGGAAGCTGTGATACTAACCGATGTTTTGCGGCGAGCTGGTGCAGAGGTCACTGTTGCCTCAGTGGAACCACAGCTCGAGATTGAGGCTGCAGCTGGTACTAAGCTAGTTGCTGACACCTCCATTTGTGCTTGTTCTGCTGAAGTCTTTGATCTCGTGGCTCTGCCGGTTAGTCCGTTGTTTTACTTCCAATGATGAACCTAGTTGTTTTGCTTCAACTTTCTGTTCAGGTTGGTGAATTAGGAATCACAGGCATAGTTTGAATTATTATTACTCTAGAACTATAATTGCAGCTGATGGGGTGTTCTAATATAGTCTGTGGTTAGGGAGGAATGCCGGGCTCGGCTAGGTTGAGAGATTGCGATGTTCTGCGCCAAATTACGAGCAAGCAGGCTGATGAGGAGAGGTTTATTGGTGCCATACTGCCATATGTGCAGCTCCAGCTGTCACACTTCTTCCATGGGGCCTCCTCAGAAGGAAGCAGGTTTGCTTACTACATATGGATGCAGGATGAACTGTGCTTGTGTGTTTCAATTGCTAATCGTTCGATAGCGTGCAATGCAAGATCACATGCCACCCTGCATTCATGGACAAGCTCCCCACCTTCTGGGCTGTTAAATCAGATCTTCAAGTTTCACGACAAGTTACTACGAGCCGCGGGCCTGGAACATCTTTTCAGTTTGCTTTAGCCTTTGTGGATCAGCTGTTTGGGGAGACGGTTGCCAAGGAAGTTGCAGAGATATTGGTAATGACTAAGGATTGTGCATCTGGTAATTTATTTCCCCAAGTTTATGAAGAAACAGGCTGGCAAGTTGAATGAAATTTTGTGTTGCTGTTGTGATAGTTGATGGATACAAGTGATGATGACTGCAGAAAGGAAGAGTTGAACCCAACAGAGTGGTCTTTTGAACATAATGCTCGTGTAATTTCTTGCTCCCCCATTTTGCTTTTCTGGAAAAAAAATAACAAATATCTTCTAACCTCTGACTGTCATTACAATCATCACTTGACAGGTGCTACTTCCAGTTGCGAATGGCTCGGAAGAAATTGAAGTAGTTACCATTGTCGACATTTTGAGGCGAGCCAATGTGGAAGTTTTGGTTGCTTCAGTTGAAAAATCTGTGCAAATTTTGGGATCACAAAGCACCAGAATAGTGAGATTTTTCCATAAATAGCATTGTTTAAAAAATAAATTCCAAAAATAGCACCCAACTCCGAAAAATTCCAAAAATAGCACCATTTTTGTAAAACCGCCACCCGGAGGTGCGTTTTTCGATGAAAACGCCACCCGAGGGCGCGTTTTTCGATGAAAACCGCACTGGTAGGGAGCGGTTTTGCAGACCGCACCCCCAGGGTGCGTTCTGCCTTTTTTTTTTTGTTGCAAACCGCACCCCCAGGGTGCGTTCTGTTTTTTTTTTTTTTAAATCCTAACTTAGGTGGAAACTTCAAACGAACGTATCTTTATGTTCGGGTATCCGATCGTCGCGATTTTTTTTTTGATTCCGCATAACTTTTTGAGATCTTGCAAGCCGAAGACTGCCAAAGGTGGTTTGGTCTCGCCTTCGTCCAAAAAAATGTCGTTTGCTACCCTGAACGAACTTTTTTCCGATTTCGTCAAACTTTGGACAACCATAACTTTGTGTTCCAAAATCCAAACGTCATGACATTTTTTTTTATTTCGCATAAATTTTTAAGGAATACAACTTTTATCATAGACATAATTTCAAAATGTACGTGGATTGCTGAGAAGGGAAGATAAGCTATTCCCAAAATCCTGTATATCCAAAAATAATTCCTGTTTTGAAAATACATTCCTAGTAAAAATGTAGTCCTTAAAAAGTTATGCGAAATAAAAAAAAAAGTCATGCCGTTTGGATTTGGAGGACAAAGTTACGGTTGTCCAAAGTTTGACGAAATCGGAAAAAAGCTCGTTCGGAGTAGCAAACGACATTGTTTGGTATGAAGGCGAGACCAAACCACCTTTGGCAGTCTTCGGCTTGCAAGATCTCAAAAAGTTATGCGGAATCAAAAAAAAAATCGCGACGATCGGATACCCGAACATAAAGATACGTTCGTTTGAAGTTTCCACCTAAGTTAGGATTTAAAAAAAAAAAACAGAACGCACCCTGGGGGTGCGGTTTGCAAAAAAAAAAAAAAAAGGTAGAACGCACCCTGGGGGTGCGGTCTGCAAAACCGCTCCCTACCAGTGCGGTTTTCATCGAAAAACGCGCCCTCGGGTGGCGTTTTCATCGAAAAACGCACCTCTGGGTGGCGGTTTTACAAAAATGGTGCTATTTTTGGAATTTTTCGGAGTTGGGTGCTAATTTTGGAATTTATTTTTTAAACCGTGCTATTTCTGGAAAAATCTCCAGAATAGTTGCAGACAAGTTCATAGGCGATGCTGCTAGATTTGACTATGATCTTATAGTTCTCCCGGTAAGCATGTTGCAATGATTTTATCCGGTACTAGGGACCAAGGACTAGACTGGATACAATTCTTCAGAAGTTTCCTTTCTACAAAATTTCAGGTTGGAAGGGCTGGATCAGATCGCCTTCAGAAATCAAAGGTTCTAAAGAAGCTACTGCAGGAGCAAGATGGAGGAAGAATTTACGGAGCAGTTTGCTCCTCCCTATCCGTTCTTCATGAACTCTGTCTGCTAAATTATAAGAGAGCCACTGCACATCCTAGAGTTGGTAACAAGTTAATGAACGAGATGGTGAATGACGCCAATGTTGTCATTGATGGTAGGCTGGTTACCTGCAAGGGTCTTTCTACTGTAATGGATTTTGCATTAGCTATAGTAACCAAGTTTTTTGGTCATGGTAGAGCTAGAAGTGTTGCTGAAGGGCTTGTGTTGGAGTACCCTAGAACTTGAAGAGAGAGAGAGAGAGAGAGAGAGAGATTATGCTAGGCACGTTAAAGTTCAAACCATTATCTCATAATCTCTTGTTACCATATGTGAATAATCCTCCTGATGAAAGGAAACAAACATCTACTCTACAAGTCCAGAACAAAGAATATACAGACAACAGTGACCGTAGCTTTGCATTGTTTTCTAGTTAATAATATGAATTCACTGTTCCTAAACTCCACGAGGACAGCATAAGCGCCATTGTATATAATTTACAGGGCAAAACTCACATCATCTGCTATCTACAAACAACGATAGCTATCTACCCTATATAGTTTCAGTAAGTATTCATATAAGCATATGCCCAAAGGTCGAAACTTCTCTCAAAGGTAGTACTTCTTCGAAAATGTGCTGATCCTACCAAGGCCCTGTCAGTGTTCTCCTCAAGCACAGCCTTTTCCCTCCCCATGGATGATTCATTTTCTCCAAGAACTGCAATCACAGAAAAAGGGTAAATCGCCATTGGCATTCAAGCACCCGTTCTGTTAAACAAAGAAGCTGCCCATCTATACTAATCTCAAGGAAAGGGGGAAGAAGAGCTTCTTACCTGATTCTTCTGCATCTGCATTATTTCAGCCTGCAAAAAACCAGCAGTGTTTTGATCAAGATAAGATGTCACAAAGGCTGAATCCACCAACATCTGACTGTTGCAATTTAAGAATGAACAGTACCTGTTTTATTTCCAGCTCTTCATTCAACTCCTTGAGTTTCGCCACCTCAGCTTCCAGTTCCAGCGTATATGCCTATTCAAATACAATGCAACATCATGCATATGTACATAGTACGCTAAAGGCTTGGGCATTCTACCAAACTTCTAAAAATCTACAGGGTCACTATAACTAAGCACACATTGAAACATATACAGTGTCACAATTGAAGCACACACAAAGCTGAAAGATGGCGCTCACCTGCTTACGAGCTCGAGATCGTGCAGCAGACTCCCTATTCTTAATCATCCTTCTCTGCCTTCTCTCAACAACCTTCTCCAAAGCCGAATTAGGTTTTCTACCCCGAGTAAACACATACGGAACTGGCGATACAGATGAAGTATCGGCATCACTCCTCGAAAGCACATCAGGTGACATCTGGCTAGCAGGAGAAGCTGTTGCAACTGTAACACCTCCAGTTCCTAAACCACCCACACGACCTAAATTGCTATTGTTTATACCCGTCGACAAATCTCCCAAGCCAACAACACCAGAGCTCCTCACCCCTTGACTCGGCAGCTGCGCACCACCATTCACCATGTGCATAGGAGATGCAAATGCCACTGTAGCTGGCTTGGGAAAGAGCGGGGCTGGCTGCTGGTGCTGACTCCTAGGTTGATGATGCAACTGCTGAGCTGGCTGCTGGTGCTGACTCCTAGGTTGATGATGCAACTGCTGAGCTGGCTGCTGCTGATGATGCTGGGTGGGTCTGATTCCTCCAACATTCATCCCCAAGCTCGAGGCTTGATTTGGTTGTTGTTGGAATCCAAGTGCCAAACTGCTGCTGTTGTTATTATTCAGTTGACCTAGTTCGCCAAAGAATCCCACATTGTTATTCTGCCTTCCCATTGGCTTGTTGGTATCCTCTCTAACTACACCTGCTCTCGACAGGAACTCCTCCAGTGTCATCTCTCCTAGTGTTCGTTGCCTCTGAGGTGGATCAGGTGGAGCCACGTCCTTGGCAGCTATTGTATTCTCTTTTATGAAATCTTTCCAAACTTCATCCACAGTTTTCTGGCTTAGTGTCCTAGGCAAAGTCAAGGAACCTTGTCTCTGAAGATTCCCACCTGAAGCACCAGCTTGCATGCCAGGTTCTTCAGCCGAGCATATGTTCTTGAGCAACTCGTCCATGTTCATTGAGCCGAAATCTTTCCCTAAGCTTCCACCCCAGGTGTTCTGAAGCTCATCGAAGGTGAGAGAATATACTGAAGACTGACGGACCAGCGGAGAGCTGACAACCGGCGGTGGCTTGGCTCCTGTACCGTCACCAAATGAAGTGTTACCAAAGTTACTGAAGTTGAAATGCGATCCCATTTCCCGAAAAGGCCTTCAAGTTACTCCAATGAAGTGTATAGAATGGAATCTCCCAGTCCTTTTTAGCTAGAGACCTTTCAAATTGCAATAACTACAATAAAACATAGGGCAAATCAAAGCGTCAACAATCCATACATATTTAGTAAACCAAACTGAAACTATGAAATTGAACCTTTGAAAAGTCCCTAAACTGAAAAGCTTGACAGATGTGAACTACTGATTGAACTCACAATCCACAACAAAATGAATTAAAATCCAAGCTTTTCTAGAAATCCTCCACATCTCACAAGATAGTACGATACACAGGCAATCCTCAACTTGCAAGTATCACCATAGAGAGAAGAAAACAAGATAAAAGAAAGACAAATCAGAAAGCAAGGAGGGAGGGAGGGAAAATATCTAGTCCTACCACTACCCAGGAACCCTGTTTCAGCAGTAGATCAAAGGACATAGTTTGTCTTGTTGTTTGGCCTCGTCCAAGCATACGGTCGAAAACATATAGCACAAATTAGATCATAGAGACTCAAGTAACGACCTTTTTCTATGCTAAACCTTCCTTATGTCTCAGATCCGATAGAAAGAGGGAAGAAGAGCAGAATCAAGATGAACTTATCCAACACCAACCCATTTCCCGGTAGCACAGAAAACTCCCAAAATCTCAAACACCCGCTCAAAATAACGAGCCAACAGCTGAGAATTCATCCCATGATCCATCTCCAGACCCATTTACCCCCAACTGGATTCCAATATTCACCAATCCAAAACCGAAAAAGTCGGAAACTTCTTCACAACCCAAAAAGGGGAAACGAAAAGTTTCGACTCGGATCAAACCCTAAGCTCCAAATCTCCCCCCAGAAATCGGGAAAATCAACCCCCACTGCAAGATCGAGAAGCAGCAGGCAAGACCACCATCCCAGACCAAAAACAAAAAAAACCCAGAATAGTAATTATTCCTATTAAAAAACTAATAAAAGAAGATGTAAATCACTCAATATCCATTTCCTAAAATAAAATCTTAAATACAGAGAGGACGAAGGAGGTAAACTGGAGCGAAAAGGAGGGGAAAACCAGAGGGAAAAGGTAGAAAAAAAACACCGCTTACCTTAATAATAAATACGGGGGAAAATTAATTGGGATATTTTGGTGGCGTGGAAATCGGAATGGAGACGGAAGAGAAAGGTTAGAGAGAGAGAGAGAGGTGTCGTTTCTAGTTCAGCAGAGCTCTGGTCTCCGGCGGGAGGAAGGAGAAGGCGACAAGTGGAAGTTGGCAATCGGAGTCGTCCTTTTAAAGCTCCTCCGTCCCTCCCAATTTGGTAATCTCCATTTTCCTAATTTTATTTTCGAGTTTTTTTTTTTTTTTTGCAGATTATCTCCTTTGGGTATTATTAATTATTTTATTTGGTCCGATCCAGAAATTTGAGACCACGCGGATCGCGCAACGTGGGCCAATCGGATTAGAGTGTTGGGAACTGTGATGTGATGGTGCAGCCAATGGGAGGAGGTCAAGTGGGAGTGATCTCAGCCGTTGGTTTTCCTCCCTTTTTCTCGTTTTCAATATTTGATCCAATAATATGAAAAAAGTGAAAACAGTTATCTTTTGGGATTTTTTTCCCAGCAATGTCGTATCGTATGAATGACAAGTGTATAGTACGGCATGGTATGATATGGTTAGAGCACGATATGAGCAATGGATACGAAATGCATGGTTCCGTCAGACACTAGTTGGAAAACTAGATATGTCGTGTTTGTAGTGGAGAACTGTTTACACCATAAATTTTGTCTTGTACCACATTGGTGAGTTACAAGATAATCAAGGAGTTTATAAGGCCACACCCATTATAACAATTAATGTTGTTTAAATTGGGCCTTATGGATATTGATTTTAAGTCCAAGTCACTAGCTCATTAATGAGCATGGACATGATTCAATAAGTGACATGGGCCTCTCGTAAGAGGTCATGCCATGCCACGAGATGGCATGAAAATTTCTAAGTATGAGAAGTCCATGGCCATGAATGAAGAGGCCATGCCGCCCCATGGCCAAGGCCTAATGACTGAAAAATAAACTAAGTCTGGAAGAGGTACATGCCACTTCAAGGAGAAGCACGTGCCGCCTCACGAGAAGGGGCATGGACGCAAGAAAAGATACTAAGTATGAGAGGGCCATGTTGTGTCACGAGAAGGGTCACAAACATGACTGAGAAGTTCATGGCTGCGAATGAGGAGGCCATGTCGTCGCATGAGCCGAAATATACTAAGTCTGAGAAGGCCATGCCGCCTCATGAGAAGGGTCATGTGCATGATTAAGAGGTCTATGGCCGTGTCATGTGATGGCCATGGACGCGAAGCAAGAAGAATTAGAAATGATTGAAAATACTAAGTATGGAAAGTCCATGCCGCCTCATGAGAGGGGCCTTGTGCATGATTGAGAGGTCCATGCCACCTCACGAGGATGGCCATGGACACGAATGAGAAGGTCGTGGTGGTGGAGCATTATATCACTAGTGACTAAGTCCCAAGAAGGCCATGGACATGAGTAAGAAGTCCATGGTCGTAAGACAAGAAGGCCATGGACATGAGTAAGAAGTCCATGGCCGCGAGACAAGAAGGCCATGAACATGAGTAAGAAGTCCATGGTCGCGAAGCAAGAAGACCACGACCCCCTTTGCGAGACACTACATGCTCGTCAAAAGACTAGCATGGCACGAGATTCAGAACAAGACCAGGCGAGGCAAGATACACTCCAAAACCCACGACGGTTCCAAGAGAGGCACCTAGGTGGTTGAAGGAGTAACCACCACTCTGAGGAAGCAAGGAGCGGTTCTTTTTGGGAGTTGTCCAAGAGGCGGTTTATTATCGAAGAAGGAGGAGCGGTTCTTTGTAGCAGTTATCCAAAAAGCGGTTTTCTATGGCGGTTACCTCCTCGGGGCTATAAATAAGAGGAGGGGTCGACAGAGACAAGGGTTCCAAGACCAACACTCTGACACACATGTCAAGTTTATCCTTTACCTTTTCTCTATCATGTAGCCATAGATGTAGTTCGTAGTTTGGAGCTCTCGCTGAACCTCCATAGGAGTAGAAGTAATTTAATTTAGATTCCGTTCCCAAAAACCATCAATCAAACACCCTCGTTCGAACTTTGTTTGAAGAGGTGTGAGCCGTGTCTTAGAAATCGTTGTCCATAGAAGTCAAAGGTGCAATCCATCTCAATTCAACACAAGAAGTTTTCTCGCCGGAAAACAAATTTGGCACACCTAGTGGGACACTTGTGGTCGATTTGATGGCTCCGAGGCGGAGGAATCAAGAAGGTGACGTTCCGGCTGGATTCGTGGAGGAGCAGGTGGCCACCATCGAGCATGGCCAAACATCCGACGCGGTTGCCGGAGGAAACGGTGGAGCAGAGATCTTGGTGGCAACTGCGCCTGGTGGAGATCTTGGTGAAGTCATGAGGGCCCTTCGTCAGATGATGGAGGAGAACCGCAAGATGGTGGCTGACACCCATCAAGCCACGGAGGAGAACCGCCGAATGTTGATGGAGAACCACCGCATGTTGGAAGAGACTCGGGCCAATACTCATCAGGTAAATTCTCAAATGGACTGTCTCAATTCTCGCATAGATAGACGTTTCAGTCAATTGTTTGAAGTAGCCAACAAAAATACAAATGAGGTGGATCAACTCCGACAGTCTTTAAGTAGACCAGTAGTGCAGTCAAGAGCTTTGCCATTAGATGGCACAGGCCTAACGCCTACTGATAGTGTTCTTTCTCCCGCTGGTGGTCGGAATGGCCAACCACGGCAAGAGAACTTGCCGCCTCAAACGGCAAGCCAACCACCTCCACGTCGAGTAGGTGAGGTCGAGATTCCTGCTACAACTCAAGTGGGGGAATCGTCACAGGCACGCGTGGGAGTTGAAGTGGTACCCCCGCGTGGTGAGAACCTCGCCACCATGTTCAACACTCGAGTTGAGCAGCCACCCGTGCAAGTGGGTGCTCGTCCCTCTATCCCGGAGGCAAGACCCTACGTGGCTCCCGTGAATTTGGGGGTAGGAGGAGGCCTAGGTGGTAACATGGATCAAATCCCACCTCGAGGCTACCCAACTCCAACGCCACCCCATTTCAATGGGCATGGCATGGACCCCATTGGGTTTGTACCGTATGGGGGGCAACAAGGGGGGCATGAGGCCAACACTCTTAGGGATCAGGTGGCTCAACTCCTCACGGAGCAGTTTGGCATGGGAGTGAGACCTGCTATGCCACCTGTATACCGTAAGCCGTACCCAGAATGGGTAGATAGGCTTTACCCATTTCCAAGGGGATTCAGAGTTCCCGAGTTTGCCACATTCACAGGGACTGGAGATCAGTCCACTGTAGAGCACGTTGGACGTTTCACTGTCCAATGTGGCGATGTAGGAAATTTTGTTAAGTTAAGACTGTTTGGAAACTCGTTGACAGGACCAGCTTTTGCTTGGTACGTCAACTTGCCGTCTAACTCCATCCAGACTTGGCAACAGATGGAACAAGTCTTCCACGCTCAGTTTTACAGATCTGAGCCCGAGGTGTCCATGGCTGACTTGGCGCGTATGCGCCAACAACCAGGGGAATCGGTTGAGCATTTCTTGACTAACTTCAAGAATGCCCGTAACCGTTGCTTTGTTAATTTGACGGAGAGGGAGTTCGTCAAGCTGGCACAAGGGGGTTTGAGTTTTGAACTAAGGAAGAAATTCCAAGATAGGCAGTTCTCTAATTTATTTCAACTCATGTCTTGTGCCGTGAGGTATGAGTCTCTTCTACATGAGGAAGAGAATCGTAGGAGTGCATCAAGGGGATCATACTTCCCAAACTTAGACTATACCATCAATCATATTGGACACGAGGCCAATGAGGTTGAGGTAGACTTGGCTGAGATAACTCCAGGAAAGCCATACATATGTGCTTCTTTGTCTAAAGTGGAAGAGGGACCACAAGGGGGGAGACCCAATCGTGCTCCCATTCAGCCAAGGAAGTATTCCTTTGATGTCTCCAAGGCAGACTTGATGTTTGACCAACTCTATAAGGATGGTCAAGTCAAGTTGACAGGGGGGCAAGTCTTTCCCTCACCCGAGAAATTAAAAGGGAAAAAGTATTGTAAGTGGCATAATAGCATGTCACATGCCACTGATTCTTGTGTGGTGTTCCATAATGTCTTGCAGGATGCCATTGAAAAGGGACGTATCAAGTTCCCAGAAGCAAAGAAAGATGCCATGTTGGTGGACACTGATCCGTTCCCCAAGGTGCTTGGCATCAACATGGTCAACCCAGACTTCTCCAAAGTCGAGTTACCACGCTTCAAGCTGGTGTTGGATACAACACCGCCTCGAAGGAGAGCCAATGTGGTTTTCGACCAAGGAAGCTCGTCATGTACCAAGCAGGCTAGCCTGGCCGCAATGATGACTAATGAAGTTGAGAAGTTGTGTGCTCATTGTAAGAAGAGTTTTAAGGTTGACGAAGAGAAGTCGAGATGTCCATCTGGGGGGCAGGTGGTTTCCAAGAAGCCACATCAACCCAAAGCCTCACATGCTTGTGATAAACATACTAATATGGCTAAGTCTGGACATGCCGGCATGCCACCAACCACTTGTAGTGGAAATTGGGGCATATCTAACAAGTCAAGACGTAAGAAAGCCATAAAAGGTTATTGCAGATTTGAAAATTTGGCTAATTATGGACAACGTGTATCCAAGAAGTCATATGAAGTCCAAGCCACACATGTTTGTGATAAGCATGCTAGTTTGGCTAAGTCTGGACAAGAGGGCATGCCACCAATCATCAACAGTGGACATGAGGTCAAGTCTAACAAGAAAAGATGTGGGAAAGCCAAAAAGAGTTCTCGTAGTCTTGAAAATTTAGCTAAGTATGGGAAAGGAGGCATATCACTCACCATAAATAATGGAGTTGGGAGCATGTCCAAGAAGCTAAATGAATTTCAGCCTACACATGCTTGTGATAAGTACACAAGTTTGGCTAAGTGTGGACAGGGGGGCAAGTCCATGTCCAGGAGTAGTAAGTACATGTCATCAATCATGAATGATGGCCATAGGGGCATGCATAAGAAGGTATCATACGCACAAATCAGACATGGCCTCACAAAGAACAAAGGATGGTCGTGTGCTAAGGGTAGGGGCCAACAGGTTTGGAGGTTGAAAGACAAAGTCAAGTGGGCCACATGGGTGGTCGCCAACTTGTCAAGACTGGACATCGTCTCCAACAACATGAGGAGAGTAAGCATG